TAATAATCCTTGTCTCCTTGCATTGTCCTCTGGATTTAATGAACTAGATCTATAAGGAACCAAGATAGGACACTCCAGAAGAGATAGTTATTCCTATTACATTGTTTTCTCTCATGATTTACTTTCTTGTGCATCATTACCTTGCTCCTGAGCTAGGTTGTAGCTTCTCTGCCATGTTTAACTTTTCACACTGCCTTGCACATTACAGGCATTACATAATTATTCCTTAGTTTTCTGAAGCTTTACATCAGAGAAACTCAATTCAAGATTCATTTATGGATTACATTTTATTGTGAGGCACTCTCAAAGAATTTTTTAGCAGGCTACTCCTTTTTGGGGCCTTGATTTCCTCATATGCAAAGTGTTTTGGTGTCTATTTCTATTGGGTTGGCCAAAAAGTTTGTTTTTTTCCGTAAGACAGCTCTAGTAGCATTTAGTTGTCTTTAACGTCATTCGAAACAGTTTTGTTGGATTGCATTGTGACAGCTGTCCTGTCAGTGTGCATTTTTTTAAAAAAAATCAAAACTGGTAAATTTTTGTGTAGCCATTTTAATATTGAAGATGGAAGAAAATAAGCAACATGTTCAGCATCTTAAGCTTTATTATTTCAAGAGAGGTAAGAACGCAACTGAAACACACAAAAAAGATGTGTGCAGTGTCTGGAGAAGGTGCTGTGACAGGCTGAACATGCCAAAAGTGGTTGGCGAAGTATCGTGCTGGAGATTTCTCGCTGGATGATGCTCCACAGTCGGGTAAATCAGTTGAAATTGATAGTGATCAAATCGAGACATTAATTGAGAACAATCAATGTTATACCATGTGGGAGATAGCTGACATACTGAAAATATCCAAATCAATAAGTTTGTTTGTAAAAATGAAAAATGTGTCTTATTTTACAGGAAAAACCATACGGACTTTTTGGGCAACCCAATAGATGCACTGAGGTCCTTGTAGCATTCAAGTGTGGAATCCGCACATTCCTTGAGGGCATGTCCTGCATGTTATTCTTCCTTCTGCCCCTTCCACACTTGATACAATGGTGGGCATGATTTAGTGACTTCCCGGTGCGTGTAGAATCAATTCTAGACATTTCAGCTGGCCTGTCACTTCCCAGTTGTTCCTCTTACCACGTGCTGTCTCTCCATTCTGGCCAGTGTTTTTTTTTTTGTACCCCTAGAACTTTCCAGGCTTAACCTGTCTCGAGGCCTTTGCACTTGCAGTTTCTTGTCATTGGGTTCTCTGCCCAATGGCCCCTCTGCACAGGTCTCTTGCTCCACCCCAGTCTATCCCACAACCATGGTTTGTTTGTTTTTTTTCATTCTTGTAATTGCTCTCTGAAATTGTCCTATCATTTATTCGATTTCATTGCTTGCATTTTATTTACACTTATTGTTTTGTCTCTCCACCTTCCCCTCTGGCCCCCCAATATCTTGGGTCCTTTTATACCCCTGCTGCTTAAATAGTACTTAGCACCAACTAGGCCCCTAAATAAATGCAGAAAGGATGAATGAACTCTACCATGCCTTACGAGTCCTAACATGCCTTAGGAACTCCTAAGAAGACAACTGCAAGCAATCACACCAGCTTACCTAGAAACCTACTTGCAATGGCAAATTCAAATATAAGGAAAAAGAAAGAATTCATTTCTTTTTATTAAGGAAAATGTCAAACATAAAAGTAAACAACAGAAGTGGTACATAAGAATAGCGCAATGAACTCGCTTGTACACGGTGGTAGACACAGACTGGAGTCGCCCCTCGTCCTGTACTCGTGTACCATCCGCTCCCCTGAGTTTGCAGGAAAACTGTGAGCGGCCTTCTCACCAAAGGAATGTGGCACATGTGACATCACCTCTGTGTGAGGATTTTGTGTTATGTAAGACCATCTTACACGTCACTCTGGGGACCCCCCTTGCTGGCTTGTTGAAGTACATGGCCGTGTTGTGAAAGCCCAGGTGACAAGGAGCCCCAGGTGCTCTCTGGGAGCTGCGGGCAGTCTCCAGCTGATGGCCCACAGAAAAGCCAGGGTCCTCAGTCGACAGCTGCAAGGAGGTGAATTCTGCCAGTGACCTGAGTGAGTATGGAAACGGATTCTTTTCCAGTTGAGCTCCCGATGAGCATGTTTCCTGGCCAAGCCCTTGCGGGCAGGTGTGAGACCCTGAGCAGAGAACCCTGGGTGCCTGGACACCTGACCCACAGAAACCGACTGTTTCTCAGTTGTAATATATCTGCGTTGTTTTAAGCTGCTATGTTTGTGGTATTTTGCTGCAATAGATAACTAACAATTTGCAACAGTTTACCAATATTGTTTCACCTATACCATCATGTTTTGTGTGTGTGTGGGGGGGGGGGCGGGTGGGCTGGAGCATTTTAAAGCACATGCAAATACTTTAGTATGTATCTCTAACAGAGAAGGACTTTTAAAGAGCATACCCACAATGCTAGAAAAATTAGGTCTTAAGTGAAAAGAAAAATGAGAGTCTTAAGGCCATCAAGTCAATGGATCTAATATATTGATTGGACACCCCGAGAAAAGTGTTGGTAATAAATTGAATAAGGATAACATCCTTTTGATACCATGAGCTAAAGGATAGGAAAGCATATGAGAGCTTTCACTCGAAATGTCTGAGGTCTGCCAGTTGTTTTTTAAAAATAATAGTACAGCCAGAAAGCACTTAATTGTCCCCATTGTATGCTCATCCATTATGCAATATCTAAAGCCACTGAAACTCAATTCTGATTCTAAGAGGCCCTACACTCAGAATGGACACTTGTAAATTCCATTTTAAAATCCAGGACTCCTTAACAACTTCGTGTCGTTCTCTAATTACCATCCCCACTATTTTCCCTCCACTGCAGGAAGCTCTCCGAGACTGGCCCCAGTTTTTCTCTTTTGGTTAAACCAATCTCGGCTCCCTTTGACACAGCGCTTTGTAGCGCAAATTCTCCGGGTTCTGGGTTCCACCCCATCTCTACCACAGGAGCGCTTTGTGATCGCTGGCAAGAAGTTGACCGTCCTCGAAGCTGGATACAGCAGTGCCTCTCGCAGGGTAGTAGCGCAGATTAGAGAAAGAACGTGCGTCACGTGTGAAGTGCCAGCACAGACGAGGCACAGCCCTGCCCCACCGTTCCCTTTGTTAGTTCCCACCTCCCACCCCTCGAGCACCAGAAAGGCCCAGCGCCGTGCCTCGCCCGCCCTTGTCGCGGGGGATGCAGGGATTTGTAGTTTTTTGGTTCCCAAGTTGTGTTTCCTCACGGAGCCGGACGGGGGGACTAAGAACTACACATCCCAGTGGGCCGTGAGAGGAAAGTGGGGCTCGGAAAACCGAGCGTCTGAGCCGGCTGCCTTCGCTTTCCGCTTCCCACGGGCTGTGCCGACCAGCGAGCCGAGGGCTCCGACCCCTCGGCAAAGCCAGGGAGGCCGAGAGCGCACGAGCAGATCGGCCGGAACCGTGGGGCGGTGCGGGGCGAGAACACAGGGGCGGTCCCTCTGCGGCCGTTGGGGCTCGAGGGGAAAGGAGAGAAATAAAGCGAGCAAATTGTGAGCGCCCGTGTCGGAGAAGTGAGAAAGGGCCCGGGAGGCAGCAACCCACGCAAAAGAAGCCACCGGGTTTGTCCTCCCGCGGGAGGCAGAGGCCAGGGCCGGAAGCGACCCGGACCGCTTCGCTCTCCCGGTGGGAATCTTGGAAACCGGGCCCCGAGACCCCAGTCCGCCAACCCCTCCCCGGAGTCCGGCCTGTCTCTTGTAGTGTCTCCCCATGCGGGGGCCGGGGCCGGGGCCCCCACCCCATTCCTGGGCAGCAGTAAAGCCCCCGCAACTCGACCACGCGCCCGGTTGGGGGAGAAAGAGGAAGGGTCGGGGCAGGCCGAGGAGGGTCACCTCTCCATGTGGGGCCCTCACGTCCCCGGAGTCGCAAGAATGGGTGTGCGTGTTGCTGTGTGTGTGCGAGTGTGTCCCGAGGCGGCAGCTGCTGCGGGGAATAACCCCGGAGGAGAAGCCGGGGGTGGGGGCCGAGCCGTTCTCGGAAGATGCTAGAGGGAGCCCCGCGCCTTTACCGGGGCCGAGTGGGGGCGACCCGGAGGGAACTGGGGTCGGGGCCCCGCCGAGCCAGTGCGGGGTTTGGGCAGAGGGGAGGAGGAGCGGGAGGAGGAGCCGGGAGGGCGACGCCTGGGCCGCCGCCCACCCGGCCGGCAGGAGGCGGCCCAGCTCCGAGCGCTGCGCGCGCGCTGGGCTGAGGCTCGCAAACAAGTGTCTGTGGCGCTCGCCCCGCGGCCCTGGGACGCGCTCCGCCGCCCCTCGGTGGCCCTCTTCGCGCCGGGCCCGGCTCCTATGGGGCAGGAGGGAACGAGGGAGCCCCTGGCCGCGCAGCCCGCTAGCCGCCGCTGTCACCCTCGGCCCGGGCGGCCCCGGCAGCCCCTTGCGGGGGCCGTGGACTCGGTTTGGCTGCCAGGCGCGCCGGCGCGGGGTCGCAGCACGAGCAGCTCCCTGGCTGTCGCCGAGCCCGCTCCCGACAGAATAACGTGCTTGGTGTCCCCACCCCTGGGAGGGGTTGCCGGTGCCGCGAGCGGCCTCCCAGTTTCCATCTCTCTCTTCTGGGGAGGATCCGCCGCCGGGAGGAAGGATTAGAATAAACCTGGCCGAGGCGTAGAAGTGGCTCCCAAGCCAGCCGGCGCCGCGGCCGCCGCCTCGTGTCCCCTCGGGGCGCAGTGCTCGGGGGTCGGCGGGCCGGAGCAGAAGCGCTGCCGGCGAGCCGGGGGCGGCGGGTTCGAGCGAGCGGCTGTGCGAGGGGGCGGGCGCGCGGCGAGCCCGGAGTCGGCCAGGCAGCTCTCCGCGCCCCGCGGGACCCCGGAGCCCCGGCACGCGGGCTGGAAGCGACTGAGGATCGCCGCGGGCTGCGGGCGAGCACCGTCCTTCCAGGAAGGGGATCCGGCTATGACAGCTGGGCTCCCCGAGGGGTTAACCTGAGTGTCCTCCGCAAAGTTGTCGCCGAGCTCGGATCCCGCTTAGGGGCCGCGGCGCCGCGGCTCGAGGGGCGGTCGTGGCTCGGCGGGGCCCGCGTGGCCGGGGGGCTTCTGGGGGTGTGCGCCCCACGCCGGCTGCCCTCGTGGATGCCTCCCGGCGGCGGCGGGCCCATGAAAGACTGCGAGTACAGTCAGATCAGCACCCACAGCTCCTCCCCCATGGAGTCGCCCCACAAGAAGAAAATCGCGGCCCGGAGGAAATGGGAGGTTTTCCCGGGAAGAAACAAGTTCTTCTGCAACGGGAGGATCATGATGGCCCGGCAGACTGGCGTCTTCTACCTGACTCTCATCCTCATCCTGGTCACTAGCGGACTCTTCTTCGCCTTCGAGTAAGTAGCGGCGACAGCTCCCCATGCCGGGCTCCCCTCGCCTGCCCCGGCGCGTCCCCTCGTTACTTTCGTTTTCTAGAAGCCTTATCTACTGAATATTGTTATATAATACAAGCCCTCTTTCCCTCTTCTTCTTTTGGAGGTCCCCTGAGATCATGCATTTCTGGGTCGGGCTCTGGGAGCAGGAGAGGGGAGTGCGGCGCCTGTAAGGTGGCCAGCCTTGTTGCTTGGAGGGGTTGGGTGGCACCTCCCAGGTGACTGATTCTTGGCGCTGTCTCTGTTGAGTTTGGAGACTAGCAAAGCAGCCCAGATGGAGCCTGCGGGGAGGGGGATGAGGCCGGTTCTCCAGGCAGGGATGGAAGGCATTGACTGCCTTTCTTGCTCACAAGGTGGAGGGCATCTGTCAGGCCCCGCTGACTCAATCGTCTGCATACCTTCACCGAAGGATGAAGCGTCTTGGTTATTGTAGGTTTCCAAGCGTAGGCCACTGGATGTGGCCTGGAAGGATACTTTCATTTTTTATTCTCCTTAGATGTTCACTCTTGGACAAGGATTTCTGGTTTACTACAATGTTTCTAAACTGTTCACTTTTTAAAAAGTTTCAACCAACAATTGTTCCCAACACACACTTTTCCCTCTGCTCCCAAATGCGGGAACAGGTGAAAGGAGACCTGAGGCCCGTTCAGGAGAACTGTGGCCCTGCCCTGTCCACTTTCTCGTTCCAGAGACAGTACCTGGGGACTTGAGTGCTTTTCTCTGGGAAAAAAGTGCATGTGCGTCTGTGCCGTTTTCAGGAAAATCAAATGGGCCAGACGTGACTATCCTGTCAACTAATGGAAGATCTTATTTCTTAATGGTGTTAGATAAAGCAGTTTAACCACATTCCAGAATCAATTTCAATTGCTCTTACTGGGTCCAACATTTGCAATTCAACTTCTTATGTAATTCCTGGTATCTTATGCTCAATAGAAGTTGGAGCTACTTCCCCCCAGAATTAAAAAAGCAGTACATTGCTGGGAGTTCTCAGTGCTTCTCATATCCTGGTTGTCGCGGGGCCTGATACCCTTTCAGCTGCCTCTGTTGGATGGGGTTAATTAAAACCTTTTGTGTTTCTTTACTTTTGTTTCCGATAAGTATTAATAGACTCTGATTCTGTGTCTGGAGTTTGCTATTCCAAAAGCTGTTTCAGTGAGAAATGAGCGATCACTTGCCAGTGTAATGGCGATGTAATAATTTGGCCCCCGGACTCTGTGGGGAAACACATTGTGTGTGAACAGTGTGCTATGGTGAGCAATTTCCACAGGACTGGGTTGGAACAGGTGAGGCGCGAGGGGCGTCTGAGCTACCCCCCTCCCACCCCCAGGCCTTCTCACACACAAGCCCTCCGTGTCTGACTGTTAAATGTCCAGGTCTCTCCTCGCAGTTTAACTTTTGTGCACAGTTGAGACTAGTTGGTGGAGTCTGTCAGGGAGCCTGGGGACGGGAGGGGAAGGTTGTGATGAGGCTTTAGGGTTGGCAAGAGAAATGCTCTGTTCCTTCTGCTGCCGCCCCCGTCGGGAGCCGCCCTCGCCCTTTTGGACCTGGGGGGCCGAGGAAGGGGCCAGACGGGGTGGGTGAGTTTGCATCCTGAGACCCGAATTCAGGCACCGCAATGACGATGCCATGCGGTCGCACAGGAATGCCCTCCTGCTGGTGGTGACGTCATGACAGGGGGTCCTCCCGAGGCTGAGTGGTCGCTATTATGTTCCTAACATTAAAAAAAAGTTTTGAAGGCATCTGTATTGGCCTTTTTGCCCTTTTTAGTAATTTTAAGAGTGGAGAAAATGGATTAATTTTGTGATTGTGTTGCAGAGCGTCAGCCACAGGTGTCTTTCAGGTAGAATGAGGAATATTTCATTTTGTATATGTACCAAAATCCCCACTGAATGGTTGGGGGGGTCTCCCCCCGACCGGTTATTACTTACCATCTTGTATTTTATTCATTCAAACATTGCTTTTAACCAAACCATCATAAATGAATTTTTTCTTCTTTATCTCTGTGTGCGTTTCTTCCAAGAGTTCCCCAAAGTCCTCACTAGCAGGTTGTTGCGGATCATTTTCTGCATCAGCAGCGTGTTAACTGATGGCTGTAGGAATAGACATGTGCACTGAGAATTTTTAGCTACTATTGGTAGCTTCGTTTTTATATCAGCTCTGTGTGTCTGTGTGTTTGGTCTCCGTGTGCATTGCTCATTTAGGCAATTTGAAATTCCAAGAAGGAAGGTTCATCCTTGCATGATGCCTCAGGTGAGAAAAATTGGAGGGCTGTTCAGACTAGAGGATATTATGGCTTGGCGAAGAATATTTGTCAGTGTATTGCTTCTAAGTCCTTTATCATTGCTAATTACAGAGTGAAAATAAATAACTTTGGCTACATTAATTTGATGGAGACTCAGAGAACCCATGAGTTACCTGCATAGGTAATGGGATACAAACAGGCTAAGAGATAAAAGAGATCAAGAGAAGATACCAGACCCATCTGCTCGCTCCCTGCCTTTCCCTGTCCTTCCTTTGGATGTTCATTGAGCACATACTAATGGTTGCCTATTCTGATTAATTTCATGCCTAGATAACTTGAATATTAGTCACATTCATTTTCTCACATTAGAGTCCATGCTTCCCCATACAGTTATACAACGGCAGCTTCAGAATTTAAAAAGATGACATGTAACTTCTGAAGTTAGTTTTAGACCTCCTCATCCTGCGACTCTGCTCCTGCCTCACCTCCATCACTCCCAAACTTGCTGGATGGACAAGGAAGCCTGTCCGAGTGAAATGAACTTACTGGGATGCAGCAGCAGGCGTTGCTACTACCTTCAACCCTGGGAGAAAGGCAGGGCAGCAAGGCAGGGCAGAAATGATGATTCCCGTGCTGAAGATAAAGTGACAGAGGCTTGGGGAGGTTAAACAGCCACCTCAGATAATGAAATAATTAGCGGCCAGGCTTCTGACTGCAAAGCCAGTGCAGTTAAAGGCCCACTGTCCTCTTCTGCCTCCAACGTAGAATAGTGGGTACAGGCGTGGATTTTGGGCAGACAGATCCCAAGATTCTAACTGGATGTATGACCCTGGGCAAATTACTTGACTTTTGAAAGCCCCAACTTCTCAATCTATTAAATGGGATTAATAATACCTACCTTAAAATGCTGTGAAGATTAAATGAAAAAGCATACTTAATACGCTATCTGAAGCATACTAGCAAGTGCTCAAGGAATGGAGCCTGTGATTAGAGGAAACCTTAGAAATAGCCTCTCAGGGTCTCTGGTCACCCTTCTCTGAGAGCCTTCAAGAGACGGGGTATGTGAGTTACTAAGGAAGAATGACAGTGAGAGCTTATTAGGGCTCAAAAAATGCAGAATGGTAGTCTGTGGCTAAAAGAAAGACTGTGGTACGAGTCTGAGGAGTGGCTTCACTCTGGCCCCTTTGGAGTGGGGTCCTGCAGGCATCCAGCAGGGATGGCTGGGGACCGTCTGCATCCAGGTCCCGGGAAGGAACACTGAGCAAGCCTACAAGAAGCAAGGACTGGATTTCCTGTCCATTTTTGGAGCTACCGTCTCAGAACCATGAAGACAGAAAAGAATGCTCCTGGAAGCAACCTGATGCAACACTCTACTCTTTCCCAAGCAGGGCAGGCTGTCTTTTGGCATCTTTTATTCAACATATGGAGTATGGGTGCAAAGTGACAGCGTTTCACAGCTGTATTTAAGAGAGAAGGGAGGATGCTAGTTGCAGTGTTACCGAGACAGCCCGCTGCTCTCTGAGGGTCTGGCTCATCAAAGACCCACCGAACTGTCCTCGGTCTCACTTCCCCAGAATGGCAATGGGAAGAGATCAGTGAACATTATCAATTTCTTTCTCTCTTATACACACACATGCACACACACACACACACACACATGCACACGCACACACCCCTGAGTTGAAAACTTGAAAATAAACTCTTTGGTCCTGAAGCATTGGCATTTTGTAGTCTCTTGATCACCAGGGCAGAAGGAAGGAGGCGAACTGGGAGGGCAGAGGAGGTCCCCGATGCCAGGAGCGTGCCGTGCTCCTAAATGTGCACCTGACTGCCTCCCAGTTCTGTGCTGTCACCAGGGACAGTGTGGAGGTGTCACTAGAGCTGAGACACTTGAGAATGTGAGAACGTTCTTAAATTTCTCATCACCAGAAATCTATGGATGATCTGTTTTAAAAAGCCGTATGTTTTTTCTGTCCCTCCCTCCTTCCGTCCCTCCTTTTTCTTTCTTTGGCTAATCCCCTCTGAAGTGCAGTAAGCCCCCACTTGACATCCTCGTTGACAGGTTCTGTGAAACCAATTTTACCATAGGCTAATTGGTGTAAGCAATAATTAAGTTCCAACCGCATTTCATCAATGTAATAACGAGTGATGTTGAATGAAGTTGGCATATTCCGAGGACCTGCTGTAATCGATGAATAAGTGGTAGTCAGTGGAACTGGGGTTATGTTTGCCTTGAAGCTGGAAAAGGGGTGTCATTTCCAACAATTTCTCTCTTACAGATTGGAAATCCTTTACTATTTAGCAGAAGGTGCTGCCCTTATAACATATCAGGATCCCATCTTTTCTCAGCTGTCCTATTGAGAACTGCATCAAGCTCTCCGTCATTTCAGAAAACATCTAGAAGGTGTCCCATCTTCTTTTGGCCAAATGCTGGCCATGCTATGCATTGTAGGGGACCTCAGGGTGGTGGTAGTTGATGGTAATGGAACCAGGACCTCTCTGCGGAACATTACCCATGAGCATGGCAGACGGTGCTCAGGACATTTTATAGCCCACCGTGGCCCCACTGGAATTTTGGGTTGCTTCAAAGTCGTAATGATGCTCTCTTGACATGTATACACTAACCCATTCATTGGTGTGCGCAACCAACATGTGTAAGCTCTGTGAGGGTAAGGACTCCATTTGTTTTATTTGCTGCCATATCCTGGTGAATAGCAGACTC